GACCAGTGCTATTCAATATATTCATCAGTGACTTGGATGAGGGAGCAGAGCGCGCTGTTAGCAAGCTTACTGATGACACAAAACTGGGAGGAGTGGCTGACACGCCTGAGTGCTGCCACACAAGCGAGACCTGGACAGGCTGGAGAGTTGGGTGGGGAGAAACTGAATGAAATATAACAAGGGCAAGCGTAGAGACTTGTATCAACCCCAGGTACCAGTACAGATTGGAGACTGACCTGTTGGAGGGCAGCACAGGGGAAAGGGACCTGGCGGTCCTGGTAAACAGCAGGGTGACCACGAGCCAGCACTGTGCCCTTGTGGCCAAGAAGGCCAGTGGCATCCTGGGGCATCCTAGAAGGGGCATGGTTAGTAGATGGAAGAGGTTCTCCTCCTCTTCTACTCTGCCCTGGTGAGACCGCATCTGGAGTATTGAGTCCAGTTCTGGGCCCCTCTGTTGAAGAAGGACAGGGAACTGCTTGAGAGAGTCCAGCACAGAGCCACAAAGATGATGAAGGGACTGGAGCATCTCCCTTATGAGGAAAGGCTGAGGGACCTGGGTCTCCTTAGCTTGGAGGAGATTGAGAGGTAACCTCGTTAACGTTTATAAATATGTAAAGGGTGTGTGTCAGGAGGATGGAGCCAGAGTCTTCTCAGTGACATCCAGTGACAGGACAAGGGCAATGGGTACAAGCAGTAACATAGGAAGTTCCACACGAATATGAGAAAAAACTTCTTCATGGTGAGGGCAACAGAACACTGGAGCAGGCTGCCCAGAGAGGTTGTGGGGTCTCCTGCTCTGACGACACTCAAAATTTGCCTGGACACGTTCCTCTATGACCTAATCCAGGTGTTCCTGCTAAGGCGAGGGGATTGCCCTAGATGAGTTTTAGAGGTTCCTTCTGTATGGGAAGTGCTGAGTTACGGCCTGAACCTCTGATTGATCACCTGAGGAGAGCAGTGAGTCAGCCAGAGGAGCACAGGTGAAGGCAATTCACCTGTGCTGCCAGAAGGGGTGGAGCCAGTCTCCAACCCTCCTAGACCTATTGAAGAGCTGGCTACAAGGAGGGAAGGATCTCTTCTGGAGATCTGCTCTGCTAGAGTTTTGTAAATGAGCCCTGGATGTGGGTAAGATTTCAATCCTCTTCTT